TATATATATATATATATATATATTATATATATATATATATGTATGTATTAAAAGATGCGTGGGGGGGTTAGTATACTATATTCTCATCCCCTTTTTCTTTAGACATGTTAAAAAAAATGTGATTAGCAATACGATCAGCCATTATGACAGCTCGAAGGTTAAAAAAAAAAAAGGTTTTTGAGCGTGCCACAGTGGTCAGAATTTTTGCTATGGAATGCATTTTAAAATAATTTATTTTTAATATTTTCTGCATCACATTTTTGGGTCCGTTAATTATCCTAGGCCCCGTGTTGCCTCAATGGTTGCGGGGCCCACAATACGGCTCTGTCGACAAGGGCTAAAATTGTACGGACTGGCTAAATAACAATACGGGGTTGGGGGGAGGGGAGGGGCGATCCAATAGTTAAAAAGGTTTGACGTCCACAGGAATTAGCAAAGCTTTCAAATGGAGTTAAGTTTTTTTCTTTTCTTTTAAACTGTTGAGTCCCTTCCATTGGATCAAAATGAAGCAAGCTAACAATCAATGGTGCATAGGCTAAAGGTGATGATAAGGCTAAATGTGATGCATAAGCTAAATGGGGCCATCCGAAATTGACGTCACTCAAATTTTGCCGATTTGACAGCCCCCCCCCCCCACATTATCACAAATCGTTACAGAAAGTTAGACCCCCCCCTCCCTCAAATCTACTGTCAAAACCTCTGCACCACCTCCCACCCCAATTTAAAATAAATTCCCTCTGTCCACTACTGTCCTTTACAAATCGTTAAAGAATTCATCTCCCACAGAAATCGAATTGTTTCAGCTGTTTCAGAAACATATCCCTAAAACAGTGTTTCTTAACCAGGGGTGAAAGCACCACTTCGGTGCCGAAGACCTAGAAAATTGTATTTTGTTGCATTACTAGCTTTTGCTGCCTTTAAAAAAAATAAAAAATAAAAAAATCAGTTTTTATGCATTTTGATTGTCAGCAGCGAATGTTTTTTCTAGTGAATATTTTGTTTTTTTGTTTTTTTTAAATTTTTTTTCTTTTTTTTTTTTTTTTTTTTATAGAAAGTTAATTAAAGAAATAAGACTAAAACAACTAAGTTATTTTATTATTTTCATATTTTTAGGAAGGATACATGTATATATACATTATGTAAATGTAATTTATACTTATTTATATGTTTTGTTGTACTGATGAAAGCATTTGTCGCAACTTTTACGTGTCTATTTAATTTTTTAAAAAAAATATATCATTAAATCTGAACATATATTGTTTTATTGACACAAATTGTTCGTGTCTAATTAATCTATTATAAAGCTTTATCGCAGTCCAACACTGAAAGATTTACACTTAGTTATTTAAAACTGAATGGTGCTGCAGCGCTGCAGAAAAGGCTTAGATCACCACACCCCCCCCCCCCCCCCCCCCCCCCCCCCGCCCCCCCCTTTCTTCCCCGGTCACTCATTTTTCGTTCCATCCCACTCTACGTCATGGCCCTAATTCTATGACTCACCTCTGCACATTTTGACATAAACTCTCTAACAAGTGTCAAAAGTCACCCCAATTCTTCTGCTCTGTGACCACCTGTAACTTGATCAGAGTCCATTTTTTTGGAGGGTTGGGACCAATGTTCCCTTTAAGCTGCGCGGCTGCTCGGCCGCGCAGCAATCTCACAGACGCCGCGCAGCAGTTTTGAGTACCACCCAGCTAATTTCCACTTAAGTGTGTGTTTGTGTCTGTAGGCTGTAAAATTTTGCGCACAAAAAAATTGATGCTGTAAAAATTACACACAACTTTATGATTTTGCACACCAACCAACAACAAACCTTAGAGGGAACATTGGTTGGGACCTCGGATACCTGTACCGATTCTCTGAGATTGTAGTTTAAAAATATTTTTTTTTTTAAAATTTCTGCATATAAGAATAATGTTAAAAATGTCTGTAATTTAGTGTTACTAAGTTCATCCCCCTCGAACACTTTTAATTTGACGTCACATTGCTAACCCCTCCCCCACGTCACAATAATGTGGAATCCCCCCTCCCCACCCACAGGGGGTATGATGGCTCCTATGTGATGCGTAAGCTAAAATGTGATACCGGTATGGCTAAATGGGATGCAAAAGCTTAAAAGTGATGATGCACAATGTGATACATAGTACATAGCTAAATGTACTGCATAGTCTAAATGTGACGCATAGTCTAAATGTACTGCATAGTCTAAATGTACTGCATAGTCTAAATGTGACGCATAGTCTAAATGTGACGCATAGTCTAAATGTGACGCATAGTCTAAATGTGACGCATAGTCTAAATGTACTGCATTGTCAAAATGTGACGCATAGTCTAAATGTGACGCATAGTCTAAATGTACTGCATAGTCTAAATGTGACGCATAGTCTAAATGTACTGCATAGTCTAAATGTACTGCATAGTCTAAATGTGACGCAGTCTAAATGTGACGCATAGTCTAAATGTACTGCATAGTCTAAATGTACTGCATAGTCAAAATGTGACGCATAGTCTAAATGTGATGCATAGTCTAAATGTGACGCATAGTCTAAATGTGACGCATAGTCTAAATGTACTGCATAGTCTAAATGTACTGCATAGTCTAAATGTGACACATAGTCTAAATGTACTGCATAGTCTAAATGTGATGCATAGTCTAAATGTACTGCAGTCTAAATGTGACGCATAGTCTAAATGTCAAGAGATTAACACTCGCGTCGGATGTAAACAATTGTGTTGATCATAATTTAAAAAATGACATTTAACCGCGGTCAAATTTATTTTCGCAATTTTAAAATATTTAATGGATGCAAATTATAAATACATAATGGCGTATATTTTATATTATTAACTGATATGACCAAAATGATTTTTTTTAAGTAATGACTGTCAATAATCGGTAAATACTAAAGAGGCCTAGACGTGTATGATGACGTTGGTAAATAAATTATTCGTTGATAAATTGTTTTGATTAAAAGAGTTCAACACACTGCTGCTGGTCCTTATCATACACAAGTCACACAACAAAGGCAATCATACACAAGTCACACAACAAAGGTAATCATACACAAGTCACACAACAAAGGTAATCTAACATTTAAAAAACTGAATCAAAATCAAAGAAATAAGAAACAAATTGTAGGAAACACATTATTGTTTTTTTTTAATCAATTTATAAAAAAAATATTGTAACATTTTTTTTAAAAAAGCCACTGGGTAAACAAAAAATACTGCACCGCACAGACCTGAAGGTAGCATTTGAATGAGATGATATGGTGGCAAGAATATTGATTCAGAATGAGTGTAATGTTTGAGAGCGGTTTGTTCAAGTTTTAAAATCAATTTAGAGTATTCATTTAACATAGTTAAACAAATGTAACTTCTTAGAAGACTTTAAAACGGTTAAAATTAAAGCCTTTGGCAGGTTGCAGGACAAAATATTAAAAGACCAATTATTTTTATTTTGCTTTGCACATTCTTTAGATTATCAATATTAAATCCTATCGGACACCCATAGTGAGTTGGTGTACAACATAATTTGCTGTGGCAAATTAAATTGTTTTACGCTTAATAGCTTTTATTGATACGAAATAAAATAAAACTAACATCCATCATACTTAATGTTTAGTCTATTTTAAGACATTATAAACAATGGCAAACAAGAAAATACCCTGCCAAAAATATCCTTTTTTTTTTTTTTTTTTAAATATACATATATCTAATGCGGAACAGACAAACAGATTTGATCAGAATTTCTAGGTGCAAAGGAGAGTAATGTTTGAAAAAAGTATTTTTATTTTAAGAACCATCTTATTTTTAATTGGTAATTGAAACAGAAAGTGATAAAGAAGTTATTTATTATGGCAACATATACCAAATAGTTGAAGATAGCTTTTTTTATGCTTTCTGGTGAAATTGAGCTTTACAAGCTAATTTATATTAGAGGTCTATCATTAAATTCTTTTTTTTTCAAATATGACAAACATGTTTAACTTATTGTACCAATTATAATTATGAAATATTTCCATGTACCAGTATATAATAGCAAGACCTTTTTTTTTCCCTAGTAAACTAGATGATTTTGTAATTTTATTATCGATTCCTTTTCCTTGTCAAAACATGGTTTCCTACAATGGGTTGCACTGATAATCACATAACTTTTCCATGCAGGTTATATTGACAAGATACCTTTACTGAAGCATTAAAAATTAAATCCAAATGTAGCTCTAAATATTTTTAATTTGTAACACAAAAGTAATTATAAAAAAAAAATTAATATATATGACAAGGGAACAAGTGATATGAGCTAGAACTAGCTGAAACTAGGAATAAAAAAAAATTATTCGGTGTGGTTAAAATTAATTTACGAACATTTAATTATTTTGCTTCTTAAAACATAAAAATAACTTTAACTAAATTTAACTAAAAGCATGACCAAAAAACCAACAAAAACATAATAAATATGCACTGTTTAATTGAGTTAAATTTTATCAAACTTGAAAAGGAGATGAGGACCCTAATGACAATAAATAAGATTGCCATAAGGGAGATGGCAAAGTTCAATCCACATCTTAGCCGATTATCGACACAAAAAATGCATTCAAAATTTACTGACAATGTATTGCTAGTTGCAAGGATAAACTCAAGGGATGCTATTTTGTAGTCAAGCTTAGGCAGTATTATGTTAATTTTTATGAAAGATTTAATTAATTTAACTTGTCACTTAACCTCAATTTTTTTCTGATATTTCATTCTTTATACTGCCAAAATCTTATCCATCTTGAACTCTGCAAGATTTAAAATTGCCAGACTCACACCTTGCAACTCTGGTGAACTCAATAAACGATGGTTAAAAAAACTTAAATAATATATAACAATGAATGTGATAGAAAAATGACATAATAATTCTTAACATAATTGAAACTTAATCAAACATGTTAACCGAATGTTTTGAAAAAAAAATCAGTTGCAAAAGAATGAAATATAAATACAAAACAGGTGGAGGTACTTAACCCTTTTGCAGTACTGCCCCCCCTCTCAATTTTTAAACATTAACCACCCCCAACCCCAAATAAAAGTATTAAAATAAATAGATATAGGCGAAAATAAATTTTTTGATCCCCTCGCACCCCTGCCTGGTCAAGAACTTACGTTGTTGCAGTTATAAACAAAAATTCCTAAATGACTGAAAAACTTTAAAATTATTCTTTTATTTTAGACTAAGGCAACTTTGAAGGAACAGTCAAAATTATGATAATAGATTATAAATTTATTTATTTGTAAAAAAAATATTTTGTAGCAAGGTACTGATGGATCTTTTGAAACTATAATGATGAACAGGCACAAAAATAAAATATTATTGATAATGATGTTCCAAGATGAGTTTGACTTTCAACAAGAAACATACCTCATCAATTCCTAACAAGCAACTCTGTTATTAGTGGTATGATGACATTCAAATAAAATAAAGGGGGGAAAAAATGGTTAATTACACACAAATTTTCAGAATAGACAAAAACTTTCTCAATACGAAAAATTATTCAGTCGATGTAAACTTCACCTGCATATATTTTCCACTTAGGCAAAAGTTCAATCAGTCGATGGTGTACTCGATACATAGAAGAAATTATTAAAATATGAATGTGATCCGTTTGGCACAATAATAAACAAAAAAAAATTATCGAAGAAGGAAAAAAAATTGTATACCTTGTTCTTTAATTTAATTTGTTAAATTTCATAAATAAAATAATTTATCAAAGAAAAGCACAAGGGATATTTATATGAAAAGCCACAGATTAAAAAATATTTATCAAATGATTTCTTTGAATTTTAACCAAGTTGCAAAAATCACGCACACAATTACTCGGGTCACCTCTTATTTGAGTTTGGCTAAAAAAAAAACTGAGCATACGAGTCGTCAATATAAATACAGAAAGCTTTGATATAAAGATAAGAATAACAGACATCACCCTTTAAGGATTAATTGTTTAACAATCAGTCAACACTTTCTCTTTAAAAAAAAAACAACAAACTTTATCACTATTAAAAGTAAAAAGACCATTGCAGGTCATTTGAGTTGGGAGGAAAAAAAGGTATTTATGTTTTGCTGACAAAGAAGCTGAGCCATTACAAAAAAGGTTTCATTTATACTATGAAGTAATCCAAAGCCCTTTTCTATACCCAACTGAGGGCTTCAGTTTTAAGAAGAACAGTCGGTTTGGATTTGATTTAAATTCTGCACAGAAAATAAATTGTTGCAACATGACATCACGACTATCTCAAAATAAATTAAAAAATAGTTAGGTGTAGCATGCACTGACTGGCTTAATGTGCAAATTGTATTTCTTTAGAAATTAAAAATAATTATTTTAAAATTATAATAAATCTTATCAAAACCACATTTAAAGAAAAATAATAAGTTTCATGCAGTTCTACACGCACAATGTCTTGATTTGTGAACATTAGAAATGAGGCACCTCATTCAAGAAGAAACAAGCACGTAGATCATACTGAAAAAAAGAAATAATAATAAATGCAATTTTAGATATGGTGGTTAATAGAAAATCCATTTTAAAAAAGGTAACAACAATTGCTGCAGCAGTTTGTTGTTACCTTTGTCCTGAGATAATCAATTTTGGATAAAAAGTAAGTAAACTTTATTTTATCAATAATTAGTGAATCATCAAAATACATTAAAAAATAACATTTGATCATTGATATATTTTTTTAAAAAATGTAACAAACATAATATTTTTAAAAATTGCAAGGTCCAGGTGTGTGTTTTCATGAATAACAAAAATATTCAAACATTGCAATCTTTAAATGTGATTTAAAAGTTTAAAGAAAATGCCAAGTAGGGGTTTGTCATAAAGGAAGTGGGCAGAAATATGCATTTTTCATTCCACCCTCCTACTTCGCATGTGGCTATTACACCCCTCCCGCATCAAGTATTAAACAGTGTGAAAAGCCTGGAAGCATAATAAAGATTATGAAGACCAAAAGTCATTAGAATTAAACTTCTCATTAAGTCTGATAATATAAATGCTTTGATTAGTAGACCAGAGCTGAGAGTTTTTTTTTTTAAATTTGCTTGCATTGTTGATAAATAGCAACCATAAATTTAGAGTTTTAACTAATTTCTTGGTGGTTTAAACCTACCGCTACTGGAGTACATGCCCACTTCTATTGCTGCCCACAGATACTACTTACCAGCTAAGTGCTATTTCTTATTTTTATACCGTTTTTTCTGTTGTTTTGTTCGCTGACGAAGGCTTTCTGCCGACACGTTCGCTGTTTTGTTTCGTTTATTTTTTCAGGTTTAACCCTACTCTGTTTTACTCATTTTATTTTGTACATGCAATGAGCTTGTTTGCAAGATCCTTTATTCCCACCCCACCAACCTCTCTATCCACAGATGTCCTTTATGAAAAAATCCTAAAGAGCATTAAATGTTTCTCACCTATATAAATAATAGAAGAAGGAAATCAAGTAGAATCCCAGCTTAACCCAGCCTTCTTTTTGAGCTCGGCCTAGCTCATCTGCATTCATGATGGATGTTGGATCATACAATCCCAAGCCACTCATCACTGGGCGGTTTAGATACCTGAATAATTAATAATTGCATTTAACGACAACAAAAGGTGTATACAAATCTTCAATAACACTAATGCAAAAGCTGTAAAAGCTTGATGTCAATGGAGATGGTAACAGGACTAAACAGACGGGTAGAGACAATGACTAAGGTAAAGTCTCATTCCTCTTGCTGTTCTATGGGATACAACATTTCAAGTTTTGATATTTATTTTTTATACTCGTACTCTTTGAACTGTTTGCCAACTAGTTCGTTATTTTGTTCCGCCATTTTTTCCCCCAGGTTTTCCCATACCGTCTTCTACATATTTCTTTTACCAAACCTGATTGCAGTCTCCCCCCTTGTTATAATTACTACTTGACACATGGGAGTTATTTCCAAAGAATTATAGACCATTTTTGTTCAAAATTGATTTTCAAAATAGCAAAAAGTTTGGCAAAGGGCTATTTTCTGTAGATCTGTTGAGCAAAAAAAAACAACATTATGGTGAACTTTACACTTTGTTATCACTAATAGCTGAATGGGAAGAAAAAAAATATTCAGTGGTTATAGATAATTATTAAAAACTCACCTCCTTATGTGGTACACCATAAGTGGTAAATTAAAAATTACAGTGCCAAACTGTGCAGCAAATAAAAACAGTACTGTGAAAAGCATGTGAATGCCATACTCAGGTATTACCAGCTGGGAAAAAAACACAAACGTAAAAATAGTGTATTTAATGCCAGTTCAATTTAATTATTCGCATTTAGAGTTGTGAGGTATATCTTATTTTTCGGCCAATCAAAAGATTTGGTGCCCTTTAAAAAAGACCCTGAAACTTCTATTCAATCCTATGTGTATGCCAAGACTTTTGCCATACCAAAATGTTTGCATTAATTTGATTATTATTTTTTTTTTAAAGTTTATATAATTTCAATAATTTACTAGGCCTAGATAAAGATTTCTATAACAAAAACACAAAATCAAATCAAATTACTAGGCCTAGATAAAGATTTCTATAACAAAAACACAAAATCAAATCAAATTTTAATAAATTTATTATTAAATACTTACAGGATTCAAGCTGTTGCACTGGTCTATTGGATTTTTGTAGTCTGTTTTAAGTTCATCAAAGGCAATAATCTGTAAGCATTTAAAACATCATTAATAATTTTTTTAATGTAACAAAAATTAAAATGGACTGTTTTTTTTTTTTTATTAATTGAAAATATTTGATTATATTTGTTAATTTAATATTAATTCACTCTCTTGTAGGGTTGAGCCGACACTCATATAATCTTGTCTTGCAAATCATAGATGAGCCTCATCAAGAGGGAGTCATGAAAAATTAAGCGATTAACACAGGTTTCCAGGTTTGACCTGTCAACCCCCTCCCCCCCCCCTGGAAGTGGGCACTCTGGGATTAGGTGTTCCACTGTTTCTGCAGCCAGGTTACAGATTCTGCATTTAGGATCCCTACGTGAGTTGAGTCTATGAAGCAGCATCTTGTAGGACAGTGCTTTTTTTGTTTATGATTCGTACTGGTTCACACTTTCAAATACAAAATATATCTAAACTAGAAATAATCTGTGGAAATCCCTAGAGGCACAGAACCACTCCCCAACTTTTGCTCTGGAGCCTTCAGTGCCCCCGATTTCTGCTCCCCTACCGCCATCCCTGACCTTGATGATCCCATTAGCTCTACTCATCGTATTATATGCTTAGGACCTATCTCGCTCCATCCAACACAGGCTTAAAAAATGACCACCTTCTCCTCAACAAAAAGAATGCTGTCAGAAGAAAGATTGTTGGCGTTAGTCATGAGTCATTGCACACAGAGATTGTGCTGATATTTTAAGATCTAAAATAAATGGTAAGAGGAGGATGAAGCATGCCAGTTTCACAAGAATTTGGCAATAAAAATAGGTGCAGAGGCTGAGCACAAAATTAAATGTACATCTCTCTTCTTCTGTTGAGTGAATGGTCCTACAAATACTGGTAACACAATGATATTTGGTAAAAACATCTGGTTAAAAAATATCAACCAATCAACGTACCTTATTAACTAGGAAATTAATGTCAGTGACGCTGACCTTTTTGTTTTACATATTCTTACTAGCAGTAGGGGCATTATTTACTGCTGATAAACTTAGCACTGAGTACAGCTTTCTTTATTTGTGTCTCTAAAAATCTGCAGATGACCTGTGATCGCCCCCATGTTACGCACAATCTCAGTTTTTCTTTTAAAACTGCACAACGCAATCAGGACTTTAGACACTATTAACATTTAATATATATTTTGATAGTTATCATCTGGTAACAATGGCCTACTTTCTGTAGAATGATGGAAACAGAAAGTGTTGATTGTAATGTACAGGCCCATTGCCAAAATTATAAAATTGAAGCAGTGGAAGCTGTTGTTATTCACCCAGTCACTTGCTCTACTCAGTCACTTTGAATTTTGTAGGCCCGAAAATGGAGTGTCAGAGCTTTTTTTTTGGCAATTTGAAACTGTAAGACAATTTATAGCTTTTAAAATGTAAAACTATTGTACAACTGTTTGTCTATTTAAATTTAAGAGTTTTTTAAAAAAATACATATTAATTCAATAGAAAATACTTGAAACAGCCTTGTTGAAGTCAATTTATTTTGACTCCCTTTCCCTCTTGTCTTTCTTATAAGTTAAACAAAATATAAGTTAGACTGATAAAATCTAATATATAATAAATAAATATATCGCATACACATGTCATCATAGCCTTTTCACTATATAATAAAAATATATATAACTATACTATAGTATAACTTTTAGAACAATTAAACACAATTATGTTTTTCTTTACAGCATGTCATAATAAAAATGGATAATTTATATTGGTATTACTAAAGGCGACAGCCAAAGGCAGTAAAGTAAATCTAGGCACTTCGGTAAAGCAAGGAAGACTACTAAAAATTTTGTATGGGAAATGAGCATAGACGCAGGAAAATAAAAGTTTTACATTCTTTTATGATAATGCTATTTCATTCATAAAATAATTATTTTGTCTCACAGTTGTGTTCCATCCTTTTGCTTTGGAGGGCATCTTGGTCTACATTTCAATATATTTCTTTTTCATTTACAATCAGCCAACTTTGAAAAAATCCTTGACTAATATTGTCAACTCCTAAGTCTTCTTGGATTGATTATATTCGTCAAGTTCTTTTCACACGTTGAATGCGTCGTACTATTCCTACTATCACTGAACAAACTCAACTCCTTTTCATAATAATTATAACTTTAATGTCTAAGTAAATATTATACACATAACACGTGAATATAGCGCAGCTCGCTATCAGACATAAATAATACACATCCTACCACTCCAAAGTTCCACTCAAGACTGCCCCACGACTAAAACATACGTCACAATACATGTGACATGACGTACGTTGTCTAGAGGTCGGTCCCCTGCGTACTAGCCACAGAACAATTTTTCAAGGGTCTAGAACCCCTTTATTTCTAGCTCCTACAGAGCTGACTCTTGCTCCAAGTATCAACAAACAATTCAGAGATTCAGGTTTTCTTATTTATTGGCTATGTGTGCCTAACAATGGAAAACTTTATTAGAAATAAGCACTGGTGTTCAGAATAAAAAAACTCCACATACTATACAAAACAGTTAAAGTTACACAAGTCCTCTTCCATTCGTAGAAAAACTCACTGCCTTCACAAGACAAAAATCATACACCATATCCACAGCACTCACCACTATTCACTCCTTAAAAAACTCATCTCAAACACGTGGTTCCTCCCGACACAGCACACCGGTCATACACTGACCGAGAAAAATAAAAACTCGTGGGGCACATGGGGAAAATAAACTCACCCACGATTGGTCAAATTAACATTATAAAAGTTGACACAGAAAACTCACACGATCTGACCGTGACAATACAGTATAGACAATAAGTCACGAATCAGCATAAAAATACATCATAGAGACAATGGCGGGAAGAGCGTTCACTAACTATAAGAGTCAAGCGCGGGAAAAGCGTTCAACAACTAATGACATAATATTCAGTCGCAACAAATACTAATGAACTCCCATACTCTACAAATATAAGGAATCTTTCATCATTAAGATTAAGTTAAACTTTAAAATATACCCTATAATTTTTAATATAGCCCTAGGGAATATATTCATCTTTATGTTTGGCAAATTTCATAAATGTTTTACAAGAGACACAATGGTTCTATATTTTAGCAGTATATTAAGTAGGTCGTTCCCCCCAACTTTGCTTTGATGTGACCATACCCCCTTTTCAATGGTGGAAGATGCCAATACTTAAGAAATATTAATTTATTACCAATTATTAATTTGAGGTTAAAAAACCTGGTAGAGTCAATATAATAAATTATCATTATTTGCAGTGAGCAGTGATGTTGTCATAGGCAACCATTCACAGTCAATTGCATATGCAATGCTACTTAAGTATTATTCTCATAGGTTTTTTATGAGACATTGCCGTGTGCAAATAATATTAAACCTTTGGTCAGGGGAAAGCTTTAATTGATTAGTCATGTGCAAAAGTAGAATTTTAAAAATAAGTAGCGCCAAACCAGTATTATTTGTAGGGGTATGCCTTGCCTTGCAAATTATATATGTAATGGATGCCTTAGACTTAGTAAAAAGTAGGGGTGTGCCGGATCCGTTTTTTCCAACCGGATCCGGATTTTCTTATGCGAAATCCGCCGGATCCGGATCTGGATTCCGGAATAATCCGGATTCCGGTTTCTCCCGGATTCCGGATTTTGGTACTATTGGTAGATACTTCGGTAAGTCAAGGTGGACTACTACTTTTTGTGTATGGGAATTCGCAATCGGCGCCAAAAAATCCGAGTTTTTAATTTTCCGATGTGTGTGTCTATTTATTATTAAATTAGTACTTTCGATATATATTTGAGTTCCGTTCCATTTGGATAAGTGTCTTACGAGAGACGCCATGTTTCTACGCGTTCGCAGCAGGTCATGCAGCTCGCTCAACCTAATTTCGCCATGGGGTTGGCCACGCCCCCCTTTTTAATGGCGGAAGTTGACGATACTTAGGAAATATTAATTTATTATCACTATTTACATCAAAATAATTGATAACTTGTGTTTCAGAATGCATTTAAAGACATTTAAACTGGAATGTTTTAATTTGAGCTTTAACAACCCGGTAGAATCCATATTATAAATGATCAGAATTTACCGTGTGCAACACGTTGTCATTGGCAACCATTCACAGCCACTTGCATAACTGTATCGTAGTACTACCTCAGAGTTTCATTCATAAGAGTTTGCCGTGTGCAAAAACTATTAAACCATTGGTCAGGGAAAGCTTTAATTAATTATTCATGTGCCAAAGTTGAAAGTTTAAACTAAGTCTAAACAGTATTTTAGTGATAAGGCAGGGAATGCGTTGCCTTATATAAACTATATAGTCATTGCGCATGACGGGATTGGTGGAATGAGATCACAGAATGTGGAGATGCAGTCCATGTTAAAAAATGACAAACCAAGTCGTACTTTAAAAATTCATAACTTTAAAACTACAACAGCTAAAAATATGATTTTGGTGTTATAATTCTTTAAAAAATTACATCTTTTCAACTATGCCATTGGTTTATTTTTACAAAAAGTTTAAATTTTCTTATCAAAGTCCCTACACTATTGGCCACTATTAGCGGTGCTGACTCTAGCCTCTGGTATGTACGGAATATTAAACATTAAACAAGCTCAACGCTCGAAACAATCGATTAATGTATCGTGATCGTGTGGAATTCGGGAAAGAGAATTACTTTTATTTCAGATTATGATCCGGTGAGTCACAAAATCTGGCAAATTCCGAAATCCGGTATATTCCGGATTCCGGAATCCGGTTGTTCCGTTTACATATAAATCCGGCGGAACCAGATTTCACCGGATAGTGCAAAATCCGGCGGAACCGCATTCCGGACCGGATTCCGGCACACCCCTAGTAAAAAGAAAACCCATATCCTATTTATTCAATTTACTGGCAATGCATATTACATAGCTAGATAAGTACAATTCATTTATAAACGGCATAATGGTGATAGTGTTAAAATTACTTTTAAAATTAGAACTTTCATTGACCCTGAAAATAAAAGTTGCATAAAATTATAATTTAAACAAGAGTTATAGCATGTGATGCCATCAGCTGAATTACATCATAAAATGTGGAGGTACAGTCCGTAGTAAAAAAAAAAAGTAATAAAGTAAAGCCTATGGCCTAGGCACTTTGAGAGAAATTTTACATATTGTCTAATTGCCACACTGAAGCTTAGAAAGTTGATTATGGTTTCATTTTTTTATTTGATGGTTTCTCTCTGCAACTGTATTTTCTATTTTTCCCCAAAGTGCTGGTGGTACCTAATAAGTCAGTATGTTAAATCAACGAAAATTCATAATTTAATTTTAATATTTTTGTGTGGAAAGCTTTGAGTGGCTTGTTAATCACTAATCATCATTTATTTATGAAAACATATAGGAGTCAATTTCCGCAATCCACGCCATGACATATGTGTGTGTAGGATTCTCTCCATTTTGTTTATTCTTGTGTTCTTACTAGAGTTAACTTTTCTTTAATACAGTCATATTAAAATTTTTTGGGTGGTTAATTTTAATATTTAAATTTCCGGCATTTTGGAAAATTAGTATATTGATTTTCTGACAACCTTTGGATTTTCTTTTTGTTGGAATGTGCAATTAAGTGTTGGAAAAGTTTATTCCAAGACTCTGTAAGTTGGGTTTTCATTATTTTAAAATTATTTTTTATTGTTTTTCTTCATTTTCCACAGGGTTTTTTTTTAATCACAGTGTCTAACTTTAGTGTAGCTACACACACGTTTTAGTTGAGGGAAAGGAGCATGTACAGGCTGAAATTACGTAAGGAAAGGAGAAACCCCAGGTCACTGATGCTTCTTGCCCATTATCTCAATGGATACAATAAATTAGCTTTGATCGCCCAAAAATTTATGTCGGCCTTCCTGCTGCAATTATTTATTATTATTAATATTATTAAATTGGCATCGTCTACACATCGGGGAGATATTCTTCCGGCAGGCATGTCACGTGACCTCTGGACGACTGAGTATGTGTTATTATTCCGGCAGACATGTCATGTGACAAGAGGTCGCCGGCAAAATAAAAAAAGTCTATTATCTTGGTTTAAATATCTTATAAAGCTCTACCTAGTGGCCTAAATTTAAAATATGAACCAAAGAAAATAAGACCAATACTTGCCAGTTGACTGTCAATAGATCTACAGTCTACTGTCAAAAAAGTTTTATTATAAGCTATTAATATTGCGTGAGAAGTAGGCTACCCCAACTGCACACAGCATTATAATTATATTGGCCCTATATTTAGTGTCTATTTCTTTGTGAGCTTTCGACCTCCCCGCCTTTATTATTTATTACCCTCACTATCATTTTTATCCTTTCTCTATTCAGTATTTCTTCTTACTTCAAGTATGCTCCCCCCCCCCTCCCAACTTATTTCTTGAAATGAAGTGTATAATCTTCGCCGCCCTCCTTCCCTTCCCCATGCATCTCCAACGCCAGTTTTACGATCGACTATTAGTTATTAGCGGTCACATGACAAGGTTGACGGACAGGTATCTAGCCCAACTTTGTTACGGCTGTCATGTGCCCTGGTTGCTAAACGAATATCTCGAGAATTTTTCATCCGGTCGCCGGACATGTAGACACTTTGTATTAAATTTCAAAGTTTTTTTCCCGATTTTCGCTTCTCTCAGTAAATAAAAATAGATTGATAAACCAGCACATTCTTCTCTTCCTTCCCCATTTTAGCAGACGTGTGATTGGTCATGGCAACCAACAAGGCCATGGAGAAACATTATGGTGCGAACAGCATAAATGAAGAACTGTCTTTACATTTAGTGGCTTCCTCTGATTCTGATCAATAAATAGTAATAATCATCATTCATTGTCATTGTCATTGTGATTCAATAATCAAGTGCTCAGTTGAGTGCCAGTTCAGTAAAATCAGAAATTCATTGATATTAACGCGCTACTTTATTCTATCCATTTTGTGACAACAAAGTTACATAGATTCTTTACTTACGTGAAATATTACAAAAAATATCAAAACAGCAGTCAGAATTAAAGCAAGAATGTAGCAAAATGCTGCAAATGTAAACGCCATTGTAATTGCCGTGGTTACTCCTTTTACCGAGTTCAGAGCTTAAATTGAAAAAAAAAAAAATGTGAGGTAGCAAGATCAATACTAGTTTACCAGAAGAACACTGAACAGCTGGTTTATGCTTTAATGTGGCAAATATGATCTAACTCTATGTAATTTTTCTATAGAAAAAAAAATTTAAAAAGATTTGTATCTTTGTGAATTTTTGTTGAAGGAACATTCGAAAATTAACTCAGAACGGGGTCATAATTTGTGTTTAAGCCCAAGGCTTAGTTAATTAAGTTAACTTAGTAGGCATTTATAAATTACGTGACGCATCTTTGAGAGTAAAAAACAAGTAAAAAATGTTGAGAGTAAGATTTCACGAATTTTTGAAGATATGTTATGAGGATGTCGAAATTTTGTGACGATGTGGGAGGGGTAAAACTGGCGAGAAAAAAAACTGCAATTAATAAGAGGGCTGGTATTATTAAACAAAGATATGAAAAAGGTAGATAAACGGCCTCGTGTTATTGATTCTTGTGATATAACTATTCCATTAGCCAGCGCATATTATGCCAATAAATACGGAATTAGAAAACATAGGTCTGCTATTTTTAATTTACATGAACATACAGTGGCGTAGCGAGGGTGTTTGGCGCCCGGGGACAAGATTCGCGCCCGGGGACAAATCCATTTTTAGCGCCCCTTTTTCTTTTTTTTCAACTCTCAAACCCATTATTTTCATCAATAAAATAATATCAAAACACATTTTGGCGCCCCTAACTAGCTGGCGCCCGGGGACATCTGTCCCCCCCTGCTCCCCCCCCCCCAACGCTACGCTTCTGTGAACATATCTATCTCATTTTTATTTTTCAATTATAGTTTTTTTTTATTGAATAATATTACGAACATGTTATAGCCACAGTGATTTACGCTTTTTGTTACAATATTTATTTAATAATTTTAACGAATAAATATTTTACAGGATATCTGAGTCTCATTCTCATCTCTCTTTTCCAAGATTAATAACCAACCATTTTCTCTGACTCAATCTCAACTTTACTTTTTTTTTTTAAAACATTTAACATTTATTAAGTAGGACTTTTGAAATCTATTTGAAATATTTGTAATTGAAAAATTTTATTTTTGAAAGTAAAATTAAATGGTTAAATAGTTAGGAAAACCCATTTGCTATTAATAATTAAAATCATAATCATAATGATTTAGCTAAAATTACTTGCAAAAAAAAGCTTTAGAAAAAATCATAATTCATGATATTAACAATTAAAATTAAGACTATTAACTTATACTCTTTAAGTCTACAAGATTCTAGTTCTTTTCTTTTTTACTCTACTAGGTTTATAATAAATGAAAGTTTAAATTAAATTTATAAATCATCAACTATTTAAAACGTCCAAATTAAATGTTACTGTTCAAATTTAATTCGTTTAGTCTACGGTTAGTTTTTATTCTTCGGATGAACGCACTAACCGGTGACGTATGCACAAACGATGATACTTTTTGCGAATGGTGATTATCGCCTGCTTTTTTTATTTAAACATTTTAATTTTTATAGGCATAAACACATTGCATTCCCCCTCCCCTTTATGGAACAAATAAATTATAAAAATATTAAATTATTATTCCGCTCTTAAAAGTTTATCTTATGAGACCTTCATGCGGGAACAATATATTAATTAACGATAGTTAGTATTTAGTTAGGCTACACAAATTTACTACTTTTACTTGTGCCGGTACTGGTACGCTTTAACTTTACTGCTACGTCATAGGCCTATAAAATACATGACTATACTCTATGACATTGCCACTCTCTTCTCTTGTAAAAATACTTGATCTACCCAACGCCAACTCTTGTAAAAATACTTGATCTACCCATGCACAGTGATTCCTATTAGTATTAGTAATTAGCTGAATAATTTCTTATTTAAAATTATAACATGAAATTAATTAGCAAAGAAGCCTTTTAATTTAAATTGTCATCTAATTAAAAATTATTAAAATATATTTTCAGAATTAAAGTCAAAGTTTATGTGACACAACAAGTTAACAGCAATAACATAAGCAATGGGGAGAAAAACTAAGAAGAATACCAAAACTACCCAAGCTCAGCCAAGTCAACCTCAAGGGGCATCTAGCAGTATCACAGATACCCCTGCATTATCAGAGTTGTCAAAAAATGCCAAACGTGATGCAGCAGAACTGATTACCAGTTTATTAGAAAGTATGCCATATTCTCTCTCATCTAATTAAAGGGGTTTATTGAATACTTTATAAATATATTATTGATCCCATTAATTATTGATACATTTGCAGCTTTTAAATGGAATTTTATGGATTTAAATACTGTTTTTAAAACCATTTTATTTCCTGCCAATATGCCATTTTAAGAAAAAAATGCATGTACAAAAAAATCTTAACATTTGCTTTTTAGTCAGAGACTACATTTACCACCTCTGAGCATCATCCTAATTTAACAAACTTTTAAAAGTAAAATTGGCATTTTATATCAAAATGGCTTAAATTGATAAATTCCAATAAAACGTGTCTCAAAGAGTAGCTATCATAATAGATCCAAATGCATAAGTTTTGTGTTTAAGTTCTATGCTTTTTATGATTATATTCTCAGTCTGCTCCAAACCACCAGAGTCTGGTGCTAAAGAGTGGGAAGACTTTCCTGAAATTCATGGCCTAGTGGAAAAGATAAGGAAGATTCAGTCAGGTAAGTAAACATAGTATAACCTTTTCTTGTATCATTAATTTTTCAGGGAATTAAAACTTTGTCAGCGCATGTGATAATAAAATATCTGTTTATGACCGATTTCATTTGTAATGAATTGACTTGTAAAGGTTTTGTTTTGCTTTGCTTGATTGTTTTGTTCGTTCATCTAAACCCCAATAGTTCACAACCTCTAAAATTGTCGCAATGTGTTATCATATATATGCTGACATACAGAAATAATACTCCAGTAGAGTCGTCCCTACCATAAAAATGTTGCACACCACTGATTGACATGATGCATAAGATAATAATATAAAGATTTTTAGATAGTGTATATCACCCCGTTGTTATTCAACTTCTTGACATACAAGGCATACACAATTTGTTTTAAAGAAGGCTAAAGCCCCATTATGGAATGGTCACAATGTTTATTATCTTAACAATGAGCTGCAAAGTAATATTTAGCCAAAGACTTATAATGCAAATAGTAGCTGTACATACATGTAAGTCTAATATAAAAGTTGGTTGTGTTACAGTTTTAGCACCACATGAAAAACCTCGAGATGTTGCATTTCCTGCTTTTATAAGTTGGCTGAATGACAATGGAGTCGACACTTCTTCAGTGGAAATCACAGAGTTCCCACAGTATGGGTATGGGCTCAAAGCTACTAAGGATCTAAAGGTAGATGGTAGATGGTTTATTTTAAGTCCTTGGTATTTATTTGATGATACATTTAACAAAACTGATAAATTATTTTTTTCTGAATAATTAAATTGTAGAGAATTTATAATAAAATTATTTTGCACATTTTAAACAGTTTCTTTTTTTAATTCTGACAGGAATCAGAGAAGTTCTTACAGATTCCTAGAAAGTTAATGCTAACTGTGGAGTCAGCTAAGCAATCTCCGTTGGGTGAGCTATTTTGCTGAGACAAATAATAAAAAATTGTAATTATAACAATTACTTATAAGAAAATGATCTTTTCACTTTGTTTTAACAACTTTTTTGTGTTTCCTATTTGAACGCCTCAACTGATTATCAGATCTTCTACACTCTAATTCTTCAGTTTATTCCTAATTATGCAAAAATCAAACCATAAAACATCTGTATTTAGTGTGGGAGTAAACATAATCAAGTCATTTTTATGCAATTGTTATTTTAAAATTTGATTACCAGGTCCTCTTATTGCTGAGGACAAGATCCTTCAAGTCATGCCCAATGTAACTCTGGCTCTACACTTGTTGAATGAGAAGTTGAATCCTCAGTCTTTCTGGAAGCCTTACATAGGTGACAAACTCTTTTATTTATATTTCGATGAGCACTATTTATTGAGGAAAAAAATGAATCTGTTCACATAATGATTTTGGAATAGTTTCCCAGTAATTTAGGATTAAATTTTCAATCACTTGATTCCATTGCCTCTAAGTATTTTTTTATTTAATTAAAAAAATCCTTTTTTTCAGATGCTTTACCCTCACAATATTCAACCCCATTGTATTGGAACTCTGAAGATCTTCAACATCTCAAGGGTTCACCTGTTCAAGGTATGTCATGTTATATCAAACCACTACAACACGAGAATAGTTTTATTACAACCTGTATAGTTTTATGAGAGAAAGCATATTTTATTGTTATATATATATATCTATATATATATATATATATATATATATATATATAAATCTTTCTTTTTTAAATTATAGCTTAAAAGATTGCTACTAATTTACAAAGATATAAATGATGGTAAAAGTAGGTTTTAGAAACAGACCTTTCATCGACTGTATGTAAATATAGATATTACTGTAACATTGAGCAGGTGATGCTATAAATCAGTATAGGAATATTGCACGTCAGTATGCCTACTTTTACAGATTACTTCAGGTAAGTCAAATATTATTATTTAACATTTTTATTAATTAACTAGTTCTATAAATGTCCATGATTAAAGTAATGATCATTATTTGAAATACTTTTTTCATAACTCACATTAAAATGGAAAACTAGTGGTTACAACAATTAATTATTTTTAAAAGGCTATGTTAAGGGGGAAAAAAAAGGGTGAAAATTAAGAATAAAGTAGCCTGCCACTGTCAAGTAACATGTAAATGACAGTCTTAACTATATTTGTTTAATGTTCACTTTTTCCTTTACATAGTTTTTTAAAATATATATATATCATTGTAACCCCTAGTTTTACCTGTTAATGGAGTTAAGAAAATTTTTTATAAAGACTGCCACTGTAAAGAACGTGTAACTGACATTATTTTTTTTCCCCTTACTGTTTCTTTATATTCTGAGCTTTATGTTTGATATTTGTGTGTTTTTAGAAAAATCCTGGAGCCACTAACTTGTTATTGAAGGACCATTTCACCTATGACAATTACAGGTACCTCTTAACATTTTAATGAGGAGACATAAAAAGATTATACAGTGACATCTTTAAAACATACCAATTGTACTTTTAAGGGCTTTAGTCCACATTGAACGATTGGTGTTTACAAATAGTTGGGCAGCCATTATTTAGGAACTGGACTATTTCTTTTATTTGAATACCAGATGGGCAGTTTCTTCTGTGATGACCCGACAGAACCAGATCCCAGGAAAAGATGGTTCAAGAGCTACCCTAGGCCTCATACCACTTTGGGACATGTGCAATCATACAAATGGCATCGTAAGCTTACTTTTCGAGATCACTTTCAATTTTTACTGACAGTGACAGCTAAAAGAGCTTTGTATTCAATATGCTCCATTTTGTTGTCATTGAAACTTTTAAAAACTTGACAATAGCCTAATGAAGCTTTGTGGAGCTTCTATAGTTTTATTAATTTTTCAAACTCATTTGGAATACATGTTTAAAAAATTCAATTTCATGTGAGTCCTTTCATGAATTCGTTTTAAATGATTTAAATCAGGCTTAAAACATTGTCATATACACTGTGTTCCTTTAAATTTAAGATTCTAGATAATCTTTTGTTATAATTTTATTTTCACACACTATTTAATTAACATTTTTTCTTTGGTAAGTATTAGTAAGTATTTCTGTACTGGTAAATTTTCTTTAAAATTCACTATTTATATTTTTAGTACACCTCTGACTACAATGCTGAAGCAGATGCATGTGAAAGTTTTTGCCTCAAGGATTTTGTGAGTGGTCAACAAGTAAGTAATAGAAGGTGCCTGTTGGGGAGTTACAACACTGGTTTATTTGTGAATTTGACATATTTTTTTTTACCTGTTTTGTCAAACATCTACTCTGATCTCAGAACATAAAATAAAATAGTGGTCGGCGGCAACAGCCAAACTGTCTGACCAACCTTGCTTGCTGCAGCAGCTTGCTCTGCTGTCAAGTGGACTGAGTCAGGAAGCCAATGCTTATCCTATTCTTGTTTCACAAGAGTTTAAGTTTTAGAGGGTTTTTCTCCTAATTCAGACTCACTTCATATCCCTGGGGGGGGGGATCAAATACCTACTAACATATTAATCATCAAATAATAATGCTCCAAACTTGACATGATAAAATTGATTTGACCATTGATGAATCTTTATCACAGGAAAATTTAATTTTTGGTTTGAGTTTTCAAAGTGAAACCTCGCTTATTTGTTTAAATAAAATATTTGTAAATCAAAACAACTGTGTTATACATAAATGTGTGATTTATTGGTCTGCAGTCAAACCTATATCTATATTTGTATTTTTTTCTTAGATTCTTATCTTTTATGGTCCTCGTTCAAATGGAGAGTTCTTAGTCCATAGTGGTTTTGTGTATCCTGACAATGAACATGATCGCCTGTGCCTTAAACTTGGTAAACTATGTTTAATATAAAACTGTTTTGCATTGTTTTTACTGTGGAATGTTGTGAGCTAGGACATCACAGGACTGTAACAAATAACTTAAATATTTATAATCCAAACAATAAATCAAGTCAGTACGTCTAGCTAATTTTTTAATTCATGAAATGAAAGTATTCACAATTGTAAAAACAAAATGAATTTTAATATTTATTTACACTAAATAGTTTATTGGTGCTTATAATTTCTAAATGTTTACATGTTCAATGTTTGATATCCACCAAAAAATCTATTTTGGATTGAAGCAAATGATCTTAAATACTCTTTTTTTTTTTTCTTTCTTCAGGAATTAGCAAAGGGGATTCACTCTTTGCCCTGAAATCTGAACTTTTGAGCAAATTAAACCTTGCTCCGTGAGTAATCTTTCACAGTTGTCATCTAACATGTTTGAGAATAAGTTTTTTTCTCTGTGTAGTATTGGTATACAAGTACTTCATAAAAAAAACCTCCCCATATACTAGCCTCCTTTCTTGTGCAAGATGGAATTCCTGGGTCATGTTGTGGCAAGATACTTCAGTTATCTGAACTCGTTATGGGCTGAAAATGGTGTATTTACAGCCAAATCATGCTTCAAAATAGGATAAGAGAAAGGGAGGAGGAGGCGTGAAAAGATAGCTGAAGTTGAAACCTGTTTCTGTTTCAACAAGATTCTGTGAATTCATTCAGTGATCTCCACTTGAAATAAGCTTATGACAGCTATTATCACTTTCAGTAATCTATGGCTAACTTTGTCATTGGTGGCACAATACATCTGTTATGAACCAGACCAGTGTAAACATAAGATAGGCTACTTGCACTGTGCTTCCAGACTAAAGTATGTCCATATCCATGGATGGGTATGAGGATGGGCAAACTCAATGTTTATTTTAGTGACTATTTGTTTTATCTTATTAAGTAATATTGATGAAACTCAGTTCTTTTAATTGACTAAAAGAACATCAGTTTTCCCCCTTTAAAACCACTCTAATTTGCCTTGCAAGTCTGTCAATAAATTTGTGATTCAATAAACTTTTACTAAAACAGCATTACATTAACTGTTAAACAAACACACCTGTTTTACAGCTCAAGGTCTTTTTATCTCCACAATGGAAGGTTTCCAGTGGATGGCGACTTGCTTGCCTTCTTGAGAGTCTTCAGCATGGATGAAGGTTCAGTTATAAATTTTAACTTTATTCTTTCGGCTTTGGTCATGAAAACCCATGAAATGTTCAGTTTTTTAAAGTAGAAGTTGGACTCGGTGAAGTCAAGGTTTGTGGTCCTAGTTGAGATTTTTTTTCTCCCTTTATATATTGCTAAGACTTTTCTGCCGTGGTCATTCATTTTTATTATTGTTTTAATTTTGACTTTACATTCCATTGTAGTCGGCTAAAAGGTGTTTTTTCTTCCTCTTAAAAAAGTGATTTTAAAAGACAAATACAGCGGTGATTCAGCACCAGGACCTGAAGAGCTTGAAGCCCTTAAAGATGAAGACAAACAGGACAGTGACGAAAATGAAGATAAAGTCTGGTCATTTCTTCAGACAAGAGCAACTCTTCTTCTCAAAGCTTACCCTTGTTCTATAGAGGTGAATTTTTTTTATTTTGAGGCATATATTGAAAAAAGCCGACATTTTTGGTGAAAAAAACAACACATTTCTTTGTATAATATAGTTTCTGTGTTTCATGTAGGCCTGTTAATACCTTCTTTTTTTTTTCTTTGAGTATGCTGTTTTAAAATTTTGGAAATCTGGTTTTAGAACGGTTTTTGGGTTTTTTTTTCAATTAAGGCTTGATTTTGTAGGAATACATGGGAATAGCATTCCTGTACTTTTTATTTTTATTTTTTTCCTAAGAAATAAATATTTATTTTTCCAACAATCCTGACCAAAATATTTCATATTATCAAAATACATAACTCTCTATGTAACAATGTCACTAACACTGCCAGATAGTGTTAATTTCTTTAAATAATATTCCAGATAATTGTGCTAAATGAGATTCTAAAAAATACATCAAGTGTGCATGGTGCTTGATATTCTCATTTGTCTTAAAGGAAATAGTTGGTGCAGCAAATCTGCTCTTTAAAAGGAGTTTTGGACATTAGAATATTAATATTGTTTAGGGGAGGTAGAATTAATTTGCATCTTTATTAAGATACTTTTCTTGAATTTGAATCCGTGTTTTATCAAGTAACTTTAGTAGATGGGAAGTTCACACATTGCCGTCACCATTGTTTGGTGGCTATAGCTAATATTTCATATCAGACACCAACGGAGGGGAATCAAGCTAAATCATGAAGTATAAATTTAAATACATTGTTCAATTTCTAGGAGGATGAATCTACAGCACAGCAAGCTGATGCATCAGATGTTGTGAGGATGTCAGCACAGCTGAGGATAGGGGAAAGGAAAATACTGCAGAATACAATCGACTATGCCGCGAGGAAAAAAGCTTCTCTGAAAACTAATGACATTTAAATTGTGTTCAGTGTGACTTTTAAATCTCTAATGGCATTTACTACTGAACTAGATGGTTAAGATGCCATCCTTGTATTACATGTGCATGGTGGGGATGGATTCTGAAATCTACTGGAGCCAACATGGTGGGAAGTACGCAAATTTGATGCCATTTTTCTTTTGTACATAATGTATGGATAGTCCTTAAACTCTCTGTATTTGGAAGCAATCATATAAATTTCTGGTTCCCAACCTGTGAGTTACTACCCCAAATAGGATCGCACAGGGTTTTCTTTAGGGTGGCCGGCTGAAACATAACTACAATTTAAAAAATTTTGTTTAAACATTATGCAGAAATTTTCATTTTTAATTAGTCTTAAATAAGTCTGAACAATTTCAAAATACAGCATCTATTTTTGATGTGATTTCTCTTTTCTCTTATGGGTTGCGGTTCACTTTGCTTCTTTTATAATGGGGTCATGATTCAAGAAAGGTTGTTAACCTGTTATTTAAATGTATTAATGCATCAATTTTCTGATGCAATTTTATAGTTTCTTTTAATAAATAAACATGTCATGGTTTGCTTTAAATAGAGAAGCGTAACAATCTCGCCTTACGGCACTTTTGAAAAAGGGGACTCTGACATTGTGGCCAAATGGTGCAGAACTTCTCTTGTTGAGTTTCCAGCTGCAGTTGAACATGTCCTGCATATTATTGGAAACATTTTTAGCTAAAGGACTCACTGAGAGAATCTCCTAGTACTGAGATATTAAATAGCATCAGCTTATTCTATTCTTGCAGTCCTATGGGTTGCAGCTCATATTGAAAAAAAAAAAATGTTTCTTTGTGAAATGTTGATAACAGTTTTTTTTAACCTCTGTCATGATGGAGCATTACAATCTGAAGGTAAAAAGAAATTAATATTTGCTGACCCAGGATGACAGAGCTCAGTAGAAATGTGTGCTATCTTTTTTAACCTCTGGTCACATTGCGGGAGTCTGAGGGATTTATTTTATAAGGGACTAGATCCATGGAAGTTAACAAAAAATGTAACGCCACATAAAAGTTTTATCTGTGAAACACATTGTGTTTCATAAGGCCTGTGAAGTATTAAAAAGCTTAAAATTTGTTTCCTCCTCTACTTTTATATTTGTTGCACTATGCCTGTGCAATACGTCTGTGCACTATTCATCAAAGATTCTTGACACTTCAATCAAGTACTCTGACTCAATTCAATAAAGCTAACGAATAGAACATTATTTTATTTTTTTTAAAGTTTTGAAACATGATTTTTGTATGTGACAGTGCTGAGCTGTGATTAACAGAAATTTATTATATTTTTAAATATGCACTTCAAGCTTATCATTCTCAATTAGTAAAACTTTATAGGCTTCATTTCATAGTTAGTGAAACTTGATAGGCTTTATTTATTAATTAGTGAAACCTAATACACCTCGTTTTCTTTTTCATGCATCTGAAACTGAAGTGAATCTACCTCAGCAAGCTTTGGCTTTAATAATCACTTGGGCTGCCAAAAAATAATACAGGCAGCCTGCTCACCCCGCAGCTAACTGCCGGTGTGCCATTGATGATTATATCAGAGTGTTTTCACCAGAATTTGTCACATAAATTCTCCAACAGTTGAGGTGTTGCAGGAGTAGATAATATCTTGACAGAAATAGATTCATTTGCCTCGAACTTTGAAATTGGTTGTTTTAAAACTGCTACTTTTATTTGTGGATGCCACAACTTGGATACATACGCTCTCATTAGATGTTCATTAGTAAGAGCGTACAGTTTTAAAACTGCTACTTTTATTTGTGGATGCCACAACTTGGATACATACACTCTCATTAGATGTTCATTAGTAAGAGCGTCCAGTTTTAAATTGGAAAGGATGGGAGTTGGCCAAGCATAAAATTCACCAAAGGCAAAGTTACTACAGTAATTAGTATTGCTTTTGTACGGCTAAGAAGCTAGATAAAAACTATTTACTTGTTAATATTACAGTGTAACATTACTGTAGGTCTTTTTTTTTTTTTTAACTCTTTTTTTTATACTGCATTTTTTTTATTTAGCCGAGACATAAATGCTAATCTGGTCATATTCATTGTATGGAATGCAAGATAATCTGGCTAAATTTGATCCAGTCATAGAACAAGTTTTTTTGTAAGATAAAAACTATTTATTTGTTAATATTACTGTGTAACATTACTGTAGGTCTTTTTTTTTTTTTTAACTCTTTTTTTTATACTGCATTTTATTTATTTAGCCGAGACATAAATGCTAATCTGGTCATATTCATTGTATGGAATGCAAGATAATCTGGCTAAATTTGATCCAGTCATAGCACAAGTTTTTTTGTAAGTGTTGATGTGGTTTGATCTGATTGTGATTTCTTCATTATTTGGTTCTGGCTTGTTGTTTCTTGTGACTAATTTAAGCTTTCCTTCTCTTCATTCTGAAGAACAAATATTTTTGTAAAACATTAAATTAACACCATTTTCAATCTAAAGACTGCCTCTGCTGAATAAATATATTTACAATGATTTGTCTTTTTCTTCCTTTATCATATTACCTGGTAGCAAAATATGTATAGTTATAAAGCTAAAGTTAATTTGTCTAACGTCTGCTGTAAATTATTCACTTTTTAAAAAAAAAGAGAGAGAGACTTATGTCTAGTGCTGGTGAAAATAATTTCATTAGTACTGTCCTCAAGACCTTACATGTCAATGAAAATCCTTCCTTTCAACAAATCTTATTTGAAATGAATAGGGAACTACTGTTCCTCCAAAGTCCCCTTTCAAGGGCGGCAAAGGACCGTCTTCTACAGCCGGCTCCAGTTTAAACCTTTGTAACAAACCAGACAGGAACAAGAACAGCTCCATCTTGGCCAAAGCCTTGCCTAGGCAGACTCTACCGCCAACAGAAAACGGAATAAACTCTTCAGTCTGCTTGAGATTTCCTTCCTGATCGATGAACCTCTCGGGCCTGAATCTCTCAGGCTCCCCCCACGTGATCCTGTCATGTAAGACAGAGTCCAGAAACGGTAGAATCACACTTCCTCTCGGAAATGTGTATCCGTCAACTTCAAAAAGATGTCGCACCTTTCGCGGTAACGTGAGGGGAGCTATGCTGGCCAAGCGCTGGGTCTCCATGATAACGGCGTTGAGGTAGACGAGCTTGGCTCGGTCCCCCATGCAAGGAACGCGCGCGTCTCCTACATTGGCCAGGATTTCTTGGTAGGCTGCCTCTTGCACCTCTGGGTTGTGAAGCATGTAAAGCATGCACCAGAGTAAGGTTGTACTCGTCGTCTCCGTGCCGGCTATAAACAAAGTTCGGATAACCGCGATTAGATTCGCCTCGTCCATCAACGTCAACTTGCCGCTTTCTGTCTTCCTCTTCATCTCCAGCAAATACGCAGCAATGAAATTAGATGGCTCTTCGTCAGCCTTTAGTGTTTGCATCGTCTTTTTGATGTTGACCTTACAAAATAAATTGTTTACACCCAGGATGGATGCTCTGATTTTCTTTGCTTTGAAGAAATCCCCCGGTAGGTAACGGAGCAGGGGCGCAAACGCCAACGGTTGCAGTCTTGGCAGGTATTTCACGATGTCACTCAAATGTGTTATCAGCTGAATAAACTCTGGGTCTTCATGATCAAATCGCCTGCCCACGGCGATAGCACATATGATGTTAGATACGCTGATGTTGGTCATCATCTTAGCGTCCACCGGTCGTCCTTTGAAACCAGCCAACTTCCCCAAGTAAACCGAAACCTCGTCTTGAATGTTCCCCGCCATCATGTTCTTCCCCATTCCGAACGCCCTGAGGATCATCAGAGTGGTTGACCGTTGCTCTTTCCAGTTATCGCCGCTGGCCCCGATAATACCCTTGTTCGTCTCCCCCAGCAGGTCGCCCACAATGCTGTTCGGCGCATCGGGGATGTCCTCGGCGTGCTTGACGAGGACTTCTTTGATGGTTTTGTACCCACTGACGACGATGAAATGTTTGCCACCCAGATCGAGGCTGAAGATGTCCCCGGCTTTAGCCCGCCATCCAGTTAGCTTGTCGCGGAGGTCACCTCTGAGGTCAAGCACGTGTCCGATGAGAGGCTTCGGTGGCACCGGAAATGGTGGAACATTGTATGCAAGATAAGGTCGTCTCGTTTTGGTCCAAAGCCAGCAGATGAGCATTGTTATTGCCACAGTCAGGAGTATCATGGTAGGATTATCAGTCAGGAGTATCATGTAGGATTATTAGTCAGGAGTATCATGGTAGGATTGTGTTGAGGATAATTACGAGATCGTAAAACCTGGATTCAAAAAAGAAAAAAAAAAAAAAAGAAAAGTTAATCGTATTAAAAAAAAAAGAAAATTTGAATAAACCTCTTTAGATATGATTGGTGAGAAAGAGAAATTTGGATTCGTTCTATGTCTTAGTCTTAGGCCTAGGGCTTTAAACTTAAAAATGAGGGGCTCAGAATTGTCTTTATTTTTTCTTAAAATCGACACTTGAATCGATATTATTCCCACCAGGAGATGTTAAGATCAATAACATGAACGTCGGGGAATTGTTTGCCCTGGGTGCCACTTTCTTCTGTGTATTTAGGGGCGGCGTTTTATGCCTACTGCCGTTGTTGTTTTTGTTGTTGTTTTTATTAAAATGATTAATGAAATAATTGATAATAATAGAGAGACATCGGTTACAGCTATTAGTTAGTTGTTTTTGGGCCATTGAATTCGGCGGTCTCTGGTGTTAGCTGGAGCAAACGTACATTCTCCAGTAACAATCGGATGAATATTACTACTATTAGCATTAAATCTAGATGGCAAGACGCTGAATAGCTATTGTCTTCCTCACAAGCCCTTCACCTTTACTAAATGGTACGCATCACACGACTGTTTTATTGGTACGCATCACACGACTGTTTTAACAGTTAATCAACCATTCACGTTATTTATAACATAAATTTATCGACAATTTTGTCAATTTTATCTAAAAGCAGGCATATTACTATTACAAGTGATTTTTTTTCCAAATATCAGATAGGATTCTGGGTGCGTGTGAGTGTGCGTGTAAAAAAAGGCTTGCCAGTAACATAATAGGAAATGAGTAAAACAAAGTATGGGAAAACCTGGGGGAAAAAAGGAAAGCAACAAAGCAACGAATGTGTCGCCAGGAAGCCATCGTCGGCGAACAAACAACAGAAAAAAACAGAATTAAATTTTTAAAAAGAGCACTTAACTGAAAAGTAGTATCCGAGAGGGCCACATATCACTACGCTTACTTAATAAGCACTTTTACTAAACGTCTTTATTGATTTAGCCAAGACCTTCTTAAACGTCTTTATCGATTTGGCCAAGACCTTCTTAAACGTCTTTATCGATTTAGCCAAGATCTTCTTAAACGTCTTTATCGATTTGGCCAAGACCTTCTTAATCGTCTTTATCGATTTAGCCAAGATCTTCTTAAACGTCTTTATCGATTTGGCCAAGACCTTCTTAAACGTCTTTATCGATTTGGCCAAGACCTTCTTAAACGTCTTTATCGATTTGGCCAAGACCTTCTTAAACGTCTTTATCGATTTAGCCAAGACCTTCTTAA